GCGGAGTCAGGGACTCGGAGGCTGGAGGTGGAGACGAGGGATCCTCCAGCCACGACGCCGATGAAGACTGGCAGACCCGCGGCGATCCCACCGCACAGATGGTGGGCTGAGGGTGAGCAGAGGGGCTGGCAGGCAGCAGCGGCAAAGGGGCAGAAGATGGCATAGCTGAGGCAGCAATGGTAATATGAGGCAGGAGAGGGAGGGTGGGTGGGGATTTGTGAGTGTCAGTGTTTTCAGGGATGGTGTGTGCTGCCCACACACACCAGATTGCCACTTCCAACATTGGGAGCACAGCAGACAGGAGAACGACCTCCATGATCACAACAGGACAGATATAATGTTCATAGGATGGAGGAAGAAGAACAGGCATGTCCACATATAAATCCAAATTCGAGTCAATAGAGTCCACTGAGTCCAGCGGCAGCTCACCCTCAGCGGTGGTGCAGTGGGCGGGGCTATCCTCCGAGCCCTCGTGCTCCCTTGCATCTTCCACTGGTGCACGCTCATTTGTCGGCTCTTGCACCTGGTCAGACAGGTCAGGCTTAAGCGCCGAGGCGATCCTCAGCTCTGTCGCCCTCTTTGGTGATGGCTCATCGGTCGCGGTGGGCTCAGGCTTTGGCTCCGTGCAGCGGGGTGATGGTTTGCTGGGCTCTGGGTCTGGAATGGGACTGGTGAGATGCTCCTTGGAGAGGCCGATGGTCAACGGCGATTTGCAATACAATGAGGACTTTGTGGAAAAGAGCTATGGAGATCAATTTGAAATGTCTTTTGAGGACAAACAATTCATGAAGACTGTTTCTGACTGCTGAATTAAGAGATGGATACTACTATTTGTGCTTACCCTTTAGGAAGGAAATTCGAAAGCCTGATAACCACCAGGTTGCACTGCAAAGAGCTCTCTATCTAGCCAAAAGATTTCAGAAAGATCCCCCCTTTCACAAGGACTACACCACGTTCATGGAAAAAAATAATTGAAGCAGGCTATGCAGAAGAGGTTCCACAACCTCAACTACAAATACATGATGGAAAAGTATGGTATATTCCTCATCACGGTGTCTACCATAAAAGAAAAACCCTATCCATGTGGTTTTTGACTGTGCCGCCACATTTAAAGGAATGTCTTTGAATAAAGAAATTCTGCAGGGACCCGACCTTACAAGCACACTCCTAGGTGTTCTTCTGCGCTTTCGCAAGCAACCTATTTTCTTGATGGCAGACATTGAAAGCATGTTTCATCAGGTACGTGTTGACCCTAATGATGTAGACTTCTTTAGATTTCTGTGGTGGCCAGAGGGTGATGTTTCTCAAAATCTGAGAGAATACAGGATGCTAGTCCATCTTTTTGGAGCAGTTAGCACCCTAGCTGTGCAAACTTTGCATTGAGAAAGACTGCCAGTGATAATGCAGGCACATTTACTGAAGAAGCCATTGACACTGTGAAGAGAAATTTCTATGTTGATGATTGCCTGAAATCAGTAGCCACGATACCACAAGCAATTTCTCTTGCTAAGGAATAAAGGGCTCTGTGTAGCATGGGCTGATTCAAACTCACAAAATTGATCAGTAACAACAGTGAAGTCCTGTCATCTATCCATGTCGAAGATAGAGCCAAAGAAGCAAAAGAGCATTAACAAAGATCAACTTCAAGTTAAACGAGCCCTTGGAGTAAGATGGAATGTAAATTCAGACACGTTTTCTTTTAGAACGGATCTGAAGGAGAAAACTGTTACCAGAAGTGGTATAGTTTCAACAGCAAGTTCTGTGTTGGACCCTTTTGGTTATCTTGCGCCTTTTACACTGACAGCAAAACAGACTGCTTGTACTACTTGTTGATACTAGCCCCCCGAAGGGTAGAAGTCAAGTTTAAATTTCAAGGCTTCTACAGCAATATCTACAGTCTAAATATCTAGAATGGGTTGTGAGGGTTTTCCATTTTAAGTCTGAACACAGCGGATGTAATAATCAAAATGCTCTCCTCATCAGCAGAAAATAGTGATATTTCAAAGTTTTTAATGTCAAAGTTTTAGTTGTCTTTCATTAACATCTACAAATAATTTTCCCAATTATAACATTGTTTTTTTATGAAATACTCTTAACATGCAGATTAATAATTCTACATGTAGATGAAAAAAATGTCTTGTCACACACCTGGTTATTTGAACGGTCGGAATTCATATGTATGACAGATAAAAATAATTGTATTTGTAGTAACTGTATTCTCACTTCAAATAAACATTTTGATAATCACTGAACATACTGTATATCCAGATGCAAAACCTAATAAAAATAAGTCATTCTATCTACTTACTGTCAATTTAATGTGTTAATATTTTAGATTAATTATGGACAAAATAACGCTTTAAAATTATTATGGCAATCCGGCCCAGACCTTTACATTATATTACATTGCAGGCAGTTGCTGACTGTGTGATGTAGCTTATGATTAGAATACACTTATATGCCCCTAAAATATGATGGTAAAAATGCCCCAGTATGAGTTTAAATATGCTATATGATGTAGTTTAGCAGTATCACACAGGTAAGTGTGCTGTTTTTTCCTGAATATTGCATCCGATTACAAATGTGAAATCAATTGTACAAAATTGTTTAATAAACAAGTAGTTAATATTATTTATGTTAAATGTATTACATTTTAGATACAATATTGTCAATATTGCCTGTTTTGTTCAAATTTGCAAACAAAAATAGTTCACATAAAAAAGCCACAGCAGAATTGTTGTGCATCCCTTAGCACCACACAGTGGTATTCAGTTACTGAATGAATCCACGTTTTTAAACAAATCAAGTGAGTCAATGATTCAGTGAGCAACTCATAAAGACAGTTCACTTGCTTCATTTCCAAATGAATCAGCCATTTGAATGAGTCAGTTGAATGAATGACTGAATAACTCACTCACTCATTTAAACAGTGGCTGTGTCCCAAATGATGCACTATGCATTATGCACTTATACACTAGCTATGCACTTATGCACTCAACCATGTAGTGTATTAATTATATAAGGTTATTTTATAATTTATAATTGTAATCTGCTATCCCCTCGCCCTCCGCTACATAATTAAGACTGTGATAAGTTGAGTGCATGAAGTGTCCATCATTCCAGTCCGTTTTTTTCAGTTAAGTGCATCATCAGGGGATTTAAAGTGCACTTTTTCTTTTTGGAATTTTCAGTGTGAACACACTACTTCTACTACAAAGCAGCATAGAATAGTGCATACATATGCGAATTGGCACACACCTAGTGACTTGCTGCCTCCTACTGGAGGATTTTCATATTTAAGTATAGTTTCATTTGTTTTAATCATGTCACATTTCAATATTCATTTTTAAAATCCATTAATGCCAATTAATTATTATTTATCCAATGTTGAATCAACATATTTCTTTCTAAAGCTTCTTTTTGTAGTGTCTGTGCTATGCTTTATTCATCTAACACAAAAATGATTTTAAATTATCTTTTGAGTGGTAATGTGAATTACGGAATGTACTATATAAAGCGCTCGATGAAGGAGAATCTTCCAAAATAGCCTATTTATTATAAATCCACAAGGAATAAACACAGGAGAATTGCAGGAGTATACGTACCACAAACACAAAAGTTAATCAAATAACCGGCAGGGCACAGAACAAGGCAGGGAGAATATATACTGGGAGGAACTAATCAGAAACACCTGAAAGTGATATGAATGAATGAATGAGGCATTTATATAGTGCTTTATTGTGTATTGTTGTAAACCCAAAGCGCTTTACAATCATGAGGGGGTCTTTCCTCAACTACCACCAGTGTGCAGCATCCACCTGGATGGTGTGCTCACCACACACCAGCTATAGGTGGAGAGAGCTATATAGCTATAGAGAGATAGAGCCTATTTAGTGGATGCGGATTATTAGGAGACCGTGATCGACAAGGGCCAGTGGAGGTAATTTGGCCAGGACACCGGGGATACACCCCTACCTACCTACCTACCTAATATGTAACTATGGAAACTAATGACAAGATCAGAACCTAGGAAGACTAGAGATAAACAAGGCAGGAGAACAAGGAACATAAGAAAACACAAGTAGTTCATAACCGTTACAGGTAAATTCTCATCTAAAATTGATGTGCGATTAATTTACAATTAATCAGATCTATAATTATATTAATTAGCATCTAGTGGCTATATTGTGGTGTTACAGATTATTTTGAATATGAATGGCCTCCTGAAATGAATAATTTTACATGTATTTATGTATTTTATACCTGGTAGAGAGAGACATGTTCAGCTAGAATCCTAGTAGTATCCCTGTTTTTTTCCCCATGGAATATACATTTTGTATTTATAATACAACCTTGTAAATAGGATTTTTAAGTATTGGAATTTATTTGCAACAATTCATGAAATGACTCGAGACTTCACTCGGACATGCGAGGAAAAGACTCAAGACAGGACTCGGACTCCAGCTTAAAGACTTCAGATGAAAGACTTGTACACACCATACAGTATTTACATGTTTTCAAAAAGCCATTGTTGTATGTGCTATGGTGTTTGTCAAAAAACATCAAATATAACAGTGCAAGAGAGCTGGTTCCAGATTTTTCCTCTGTTATTCACTGTCTGACAATAAACTGATCCCTCATTCTATTTCGAGCGTACTTAACATGCTTGCACTACTTTTGAGAAAAGGACTAATGGATTTAAAATGTTTGCTTTGACACATTCACCAAAGACATCCTTAAACAAACAAGGAAATAACTATCATATATTCTTGTTTGTTGTAATCTTGTGTGTGTGTGTGTGTTTCATTTGAAATAAAGCTGCACTCTGTGTGAACCATCAGTTACACCAGAAGATAAAACAAAACAAAAATCTCAACCCTATTGCAGAGCTACTTATGCTCAGTCTCTAATTCAGCAGCGAATGATGCAACCAAATAGTTCAAATGAATGGTACATTACTAAAATCACTGCAGTTATGAAATTTTATATTCAGTTCCTACCTTCGTTCAGCTTGGATGTCCTTAGGCATAGTGAGGGTCTGGATCAGAGGGTATGCACAAGAAAACGTAATGTTCATCCATCTCTCTCTTGTAATAACACCCGTTGACAATTTAGAATGAATGGCGTTTTGGTAGATGAAGTGTGTGCTATTGCTCTGTGAGGACATGAACAAATATCAATCTCAAGCCAATTTTCTAATAAGCACAGATAATTATGGATTGAAATTAGGGGTGTAATGGTACACAAACATGACACTTTGGTAAACCTCGGTTTTGACGTCACGGTTCGGTACAGCAGGGGGGAAATTAACATATATATATATATACAGTATATAGTTTAATAAAAAAAAAATATATATATATATATTTATTAAACAGTGATTTACTGAATAAATTGCTCCTTTAAATGAGCATATATAAAATGTCAGGCTCTTTTTTCGTAACATTTATTTAAACAATCTAATATTTCGCGAAATGCTCTTCTCTAGACTTCATTTATAGCGCACTAACGAGTTGTGGGCACTGGACACTGATGACTTGCCTGAGTTAAATGAAATGCTACGTGACATTTTGTTTACAAGCTGTTTAATTGATGTCTTTCCACGGTTTAAACACTGATTGAGTGATTACATGAGGCATGAGATGTTAATTCATGTTTATTTTGCGTTAAAACTAGTAGTAAAGAGGAAGGGATGATCGTGCTGCCGCTTTAACTGAGGCATTTACACAGCGATCTGTTGCCACATCAAAGAGCGCCAAGACTGCATTTATTGTTTGAATTTCCTGAAAAAAAAATGGGCATAATTTGAAAGATGAGACTTTGTTTCTTATCAAAAGTAACAATATAACTGGAAGTTTCCAATGAAGTTCCGCTTGTGCAGTGTTTAAAACAATGCTGTATTTGTTTGGTACACATGCATACCGAACTGAAAATTTTCAGTACAAATACGTGTACCGTTACATCCCTAATTGAAATACATCATCAGAAGTGATATTGGTGAGGAAACACTAATGAACCATGCATTACCGTTAAAGTAGTACCACAGACGTGGCCTTCATTGTCAAAATGAAACAGAACTCTGCCATTTTCAGAAATTCCTTTGCAGCTGGGATCATTTAGATGCAGAATCTCAGGAGGAAAGCCAGATTCAAAGAGTTGGCAGCGGGAAAGAGATAAGGAGCCAGTGCTGCTTGCACAAAACTCCATGGCATCTGAGCACAAACAAGAATCAGTGAATTATCAATTGTATTAGCCTGTATTACTGTTTGGGGTTACTGTCGATTTAAGTTATTTGCAGTGCAGTACACCTACCAAAGGTTTCAGGATTATGTCTTTGTCCTTCCAAGCAACCACAGCCATAGGCATCTCTAAAACGGCAAACCTCATTTCCAGTGCAGCCTAAAGTATCACAAACTACATGAAAAGAGAGAGAAAGACAAAATATCATAGTAGATAAGGTAAAGCAAGACACTATGTGTTCTGGTAAGCAACAAATCCGGGTAAAAGTGCATGGATCAACCCCCCCCCATCCCATACCCCATAAAATATTAATGTATGTTTTTTTTGCCTTATATTATAAAGGACTGTACCCAGGAAACATTTCACAATATTGCAATTTGGTTGGTGGTTGCATCACATCATTTAGAAAAATCAATTTAGTACTTTACACATTAATAAAATAAATATGATAAAGACCAGATGAACAACATATTTTGCCCGCTAAAAAACAAACAAACTGCAGCTGTACAATACATAGATCATGCCCTTCTCTTAAGTGGATCCTCTTTTACTGTGGGGGCTGTGGATGAAGAACCCGCAATCCCGCAGTACCCACCACACCAGAGTGTTTCCACATACCAATTGTAATGTCAGGATTTATTCCTGCCACACCTGCCAAGCCAGAGCCTGCTCACATCATGGCCGCCACACCAGAGCCTCTCCACGTCGTGTCTGCCAAGCCAAAGCCTGTTCACGTCATGACTACCAAGGCAGAGCCTTTTCACATCATGGATAAGTCTTCAGACAAGATGGCTGCCAAGCCTGAGTCATCAGCCAACATGGCCGCCACGCCTGAGTCTACGGCCAAGATGGCCGCCACACCAGAAACTCGTCACGCCACGGCCGCCATGCAAGTTTCCCCTAAAGTTTTATTTTTTGGGGGGGACTATAGGACACAAGCTCCTGCTGATGCGTAGCTTGGGCCAATACAGATGAGACTACTTGCCAATGTTATGGATTCACCCTTGAGGTCCCAAGTCTGGGATTCCCTGAGTTCCTGCCACTGTCGTCTGCACTTCCTGTGATGGCAGCTTCCTGAACTCTCAGCCTGCCCTGTCACGGCCAAGAAGGCTGTCCCTGAACTCACAGTCTGCCTTGTTACAGCCAAGGAGGCCATGACCCTGAACTCTCAGCCTGACCTGTCATGGCCAAGAAGGCTATCCCTGAACTCACAGTCTGCCTTGTCACAGCCAAGGAGGATATCTCTGAGCTCTCAGCCTGCACTGTCATAGCAGGTCCTCCAGTGCTCCACGGCCCAGATCCACCACTGTACCACGGCCTAGGCCCTGCATTGCTCCATGTTTCAGGCCTGCCTCTACTCCACGGTCCAGGTCCACCATGGCTCCACTGCCCAGGTCTACCATTGCCCCATTGTCCAAGTCCACCACTGCTTCACAGTCCAGGTCCACCTCTGCTTCGTGGTCCAGGTCCACCATTGCTCCAGAATCCTGTTCCAGTTCTGCTTCACGGTCCTCCACCCTCCTGAAACTTTTTGTTTGTTTTTGGGGTGGGTGTTTCAGGTGCCGCCCTTAGAGCGGGGAATATGTAATGTGGATTTTGAGTTTTGTTTCATGTTCATTGTTTTCATGTCTTTTATCTTGTGTTCTCTTGTCATAGTTCTTGTCATTGTCATGTGATTCCCTGATCTCTCTTGTGTTCCTGCCATGTGTTCCTTTAGCCCATGTGTCATGCTTTCATTGGTTCAGTGTCTTGTCATGTGGTCTTCAGTTCTGTATTCTTATTGCTTCCTCAAGTTCCTCAGCTCCACTCTGTCATTAGTTGTTCTTGTCATGTGTTATCTTATTGTTTGGAATATATAGCCCTCATGTTTCATTGTCCATGGTCTAGCTTTGTTCATGTAACCACTGCTTGGTGGTCTTTGTTCATGTTTAAGTTCTTGTTTTGCTAAGCCAAGCTTTTGTTTGTTGTGTATCCACTCACCTTTTGGGTTAAATAAAAGCGGCACACAGCTTCTAATTCAACAGTTGAATACGTTACAATGGACTGTGATGTTTATTGCTTTTGTTTGAATGTTTCATAATTTCTAAAAGTATAAATTTAATTAAAAATTACATTATTCAGATATTTAATTCTAGTTTGAACATCCTATTTACTGGTATATGTACACAGTGCAAATTAATATATGGTAAATATTTATCTATCATTGATTCAGGTATTGCTTTTTAATAACTTTACTCTGTTATTGTTATGATATAAACTTCCATAATATGAAAAAGGAAACCAGCATAATATGAAAAATGAAACTAAAAGAAATTAAAATGAAAAATGAAACCAAAATAATTATTTTGCAGTGGCCATACAGGGAATGCTAAAAAAATACAGATGAAAAGAAATTACATTACCATCATAAACATGAAAACCCCAGCGACCATTAACATTGACATTGCTGTTGGATGACAATTCAGAGGCCGTCGATAAGGAAAATTTGTATGAGTGTGCAAAGTCCACAGTGTCATAGTGAGCCTGCATGAAATAAAAGACATGTAAACTGGAAATTTGTAAAAAGAATCTCTGTTAAATTGCAACAACACTTTGAGTCTTACTAGCCATCGTTGTAATGTTTCTGCTATGTTTCCATAGTTAAACAGGATGAAGGAGTGAACAACATTGGAGATTAAGACCAGCTGAAATGTAACTACCTTCAAAACACAGATAGACAGAATTTCAGAACTGTTCAAAGAAAAATACACAGCAATGCATAATCAATTTTGATAGAATGGTGACAATTAAAGATTAGGACTTACCCCTTCACCAGAGGAGTATGGCACACTATCCCAGGTAGCAACAAACACTGATGTAGCAGTGAATGGAAGAGTAAGGTTAGGGAAGTATTGGTTAACAGCTGCAGTGACTAGCTCCAGTACAACACTGCTTGTGTCCTCTCTATAGGAGATAGTTCCACCATGTCTGTTGTCAAGGTGAGTCCAGAGAGGAGCAACGATGTCTCTTCTAGAATTCAGCAGGGGGATGTAGTCGGACAGTGGCTCATTAAAGGTTAGATGGCCATTGTTGTTGACCTAAAGTTTAGGACAAAACGTTTGCATGTGTTGTGAGGGGACATATATGGATGACAGAATAAAGAGGCAGAATTTGGCATAATTCCTACTGGTTAATTCTATGAATCAAAAGTCCTCTGAATTTCACATTTAAAACACTCGTACATCAAGGTAGCAACGTCTGAAAAAAGTAGAGCTACTAGTTTTACTTATTTGAAGAGACTTGTCATTTCCAATGCAAGCAGATAAAACAACTGGTCATCTAAATAAGGACAACGGCATCTAAAATGCTTACAAAGGTCTGATTGTGTGTGCGTCCAAAAAACTTGAAAGGCTGCTGCAATTTAATGGCTTCAGAGCTTCCATTATCCAAACGGGGTGTTACTCTTTCTCCATTTCCAAAAGGTAGGAAATTAGCTGGCACTAGGACAAATGTAAATGACAAGGAATCCTTTAGTTTTTTCCCAGAATCATAACCTCGCAAACACTAGCTTTTGAAATTTTGAAAGGGAAATTCACTAAGATTGAATTGTGCTCTCTAATAGTGTTGTTTATTTTGAAGTGAGCCACAGGTTTTGGGACACGATTCACTGCAAAAAATTATGTAAAACAGATAAGGGAGCTAGAGCCTCATGCCCACAAAATTAGTGCTGATCAGAATTTGCCCAGGGCAGTTGGCCAGCTCTCAGGATGCTTCTGAATGCAACGTTGTGGGGAGTAGAGCAGACCACTACAATCTGGCAGACTTTTCTGGGAATGCATAGTGTCACTCACCCACTGATGCATCCAGCATCTGAATTGGCTTATTAAAAGGCCGAAAGTGCACTCAAAAACAATGTGCCAGGTAAAGCTAAACTGTAAATAAGATTCAGGTTTTTGTGTTCAAGCACGGCATGCTACAACTGGCACCAAACTTTAGTGAATTCACCCAACAATCTTTTTCTAAACAATATTCCAAGTTTTACAAGTAGGCTTACCTTTTGGCGAGCCATCAACATGGAAAGACCAGCAAGCAGTCACATTGATATTATTGCTTGAATACAGCTCATTGACACTGGCTGCTGGAATTGTGAAAGAACTAGCAGACTCCACAGTGTTATAACCAGCCTGTAGGAGTAAATAAAAAAAATATTTAATTAATTAAGAATTAAAAAAATTAAAAGTTAATACAATTAAAAATGAATGAAAAGGGAGAGAGAGAAACTGTTATTTCGCATTCACGAGAAATTTCTTATAAACTGTATGCTTGTATTCATTTTGATAATTTGTACTATGTACACAAAGTAGTATTTCACTGACCAGCCAAGGTTGTTCAGTTTCTGCAACATCTCCGTAATAGATCAGGATGAAAGAGCGATGAACATTGTACGCTAAAACCACTTGGAAAGTGACCACCTTCAAAACACCAACAGACATTCAATACCTTCTAAACCAACAAGACAGACCATTGATTAATAATCAAAGATTACGGTAAGTCTTACCCCTCCACCATTATAGTACGGTACACTGTCCCAGGTAGCCACAAAAGCTGATGTAGCAGCAAATGGTATGTTGGGGAAGCATTGCTTAACAGCTGCAGTGACTTGTGCCAGTACAGCAGTGCTTGTATCCTCTCTATAGGAAATAGATCCACCATGTCGATTGTCAAGGCGAGTCCAAAGAGGAGCAATGATGTCTCTTGCGGAATCCAGAAAGGGGATGTAGGCTGACAGCGGCTCGGTGAACGTTAGGTAGCCGTTGTTGTTCACCTAAAATTTAGGACCACAATCATTCGAAAGTATTTTAAAGAGAATTTTGAACAAAAACGAGGGGTACGTAAAAAACTTGTAACTTAAATAGTATGGGAAATGTAGTGCTTACGAATATCTGATTGTATGTGCGTCCAAAGTATTTGAAAGGCTGCTGAAAGAAAATGACATCCGAGCTTCCATCCTCAGCACGGGGGTTGACAATTTCTCCATCCCCAGAAGCGAGGAAATTAGTTGGCACTAAGGAAAGGATAAGTGAGAATGAACTCTCTGCTTCTGCTGAAGAAACAAGCTAACAAACGGTACAGGTTAAGCTTGAGCTTCTGGTTGCATTGGCTTACAGTTCGGTGAGCCGTCAACATGGAAAGAGTGGCGACCATTCACATTGATATTGCTGCTGGATGAGAGTTCTGGGGTGCTTGTCACTGGAACTGTGAAAGAATGGACAGAGTCCAATGTGTTGTAACCAGCCTGTAGAAGTAAAAAGGAACCGTTGTTAGGTCCTCAACCTGTTCCAGATATAACTGCCTTTTGGTAGAATGTAAGGTTTGAAGCGAGGCAAGGGCAATTCCTTGTCATCTGCCTTATTCGTAAAGCTTACAAGGACCTGTCACCACTCACCAGCCACATTTGTTCTGTCTCTGCTATGTCTCCATAGTTGATGAGGATGAAGGAGCGATGGACATTGGAGACAAAAACCACTTGGAAAGTAGCCACCTTCAAAATACCAAGAGAAAGCATGAAAAACCTTCCCAGGCCAATACTAATTCATTGATAAACAACAAATTGATCGTACCCCTCCACCACTGTGGTATGGCACACTGTCCCAGGTAGTGACAAAAGCTGATGTAGCAGCAAAAGTTATGTTGGGGAAGTATTGGTCAATAGCTGCAGTGACTAGCTCCAGTACAGAAGTGCTTGTGTCCTCTCTATAAGAGATAGTTCCACCACGTCTGTTGTCAAGGTGAGTCCAGAGAGGAGCAACGATGTCTCTTCCTGAATTCAGCAGGGGGATGTAGTCGGACAGCGGCTCAGTAAACGTTAGATGGCCATTGTTGTTGACCTAAAGTTTAGGACAAAACGTTTGCATGTGTTGTGAGGGGAAACATATGGTGACAGAATGAAGAGGCAGAATTTGGCATAATTCCTACTGGTTAATTCTATGAATCAAAAGTCCTCTGAATTTTAAATGTAAAACACTCGTACATCAAGGTAGCAACCTCTGAAAAAGTAGGGCTACTAGTTTTACTCATTTGAAGAGACTTGTCACTTCCAGTGCAAGCAGATAAAACAACTGATCATCTAAATAAGAACAACGACAACTAAAATGCTTACAAAGGTCTGGTTGTGTGTGCGTCCAAAAAACTTGAAAGGCTGCTGCAATAGTATTTTAAAGAGAATTTTGAAAAAAAAGAATGAGGGGTACGTAAATAACTTGTAACTTAAATGGTACAGGAAATGTTGTGCTTACGAAGATCTGATTGTATGTGCGTCCAAAGTATTTGAAAGGCTGCTGCAAGAAAATGACATCTGAGCTTCCGTCCTCAGCAGGGGGGTTGATAATTTCTCCATCCCCAGAAGCGAGGAAATTAGTTGGCACTAAGGAAAGGATAAGTGAGAATGAACTCTCTGCTTCTGCTGAAGAAACACTTTGACAAATGGTACAGGTTAAGCTTGAGCTTCTGGTTGCATTGGCTTACAGTTCGGTGAGCCGTCAACATGGAAAGAGCGGCGACCATTCACATTGATATTGCTGCTGGATGAGAGTTCTGGGGCGCTGGTCACTGGAACTGTGAAAGAATGGACAGAGTCCAATGTGTTGTAACCAGCCTGTAGAAGAAAAAATTAATCATTGTTAGGTCCGCAAACTGTTCCAGATATAACTGCCTACATTTTGGTAGAATGTAAGGTATGAAGCTAGGCAAGGGCAATTCCTTGCCATCTGTCTCATTCGTAAAGCTTAAAAGGACCTGTCACCACTCACCAGCCACATTTGTTCTGTCTCTCCAATGTCTCCATAGTTGATGAGGATGAAGGAACGATGGATATTGGAAACAAAAACCACTTGGAAAGTAGCCACCTTGACACCTTGAAAAGAAAGCATGAAAAAACTTTACAAGACAACACTAATTCATTGATAAACAACAATTCGATCTTACCCCTCCACCACTCTGGTATGGCACACTGTCCCAGGTCGCGACAAAAAGGTATGAAGCTAGGCAAGGGCAATTCCTTGCCATCTGTCTCATTCGTAAAACTTACAAGGACCTGTCACCACTCACCAACCACATTTGTTCTGTCTCTCCAATGTCTCCATAGTTGATGAGGATGAAGGAACGATGGATATTGGAAACAAAAACCACTTGGAAAGTAGCCACCTTGAAAATACCAAGAGAAAGCATGAAAAAACTTTACAAGACAACACTAATTCATTGATAAACAACAATTCGATCTTACCCCTCCACCACTCTGGTATGGCACACTGTCCCAGGTCGCGACAAAAGCTGATGTAGCAGCAAAAGTTATTTTGGGGAAGTATTGGTCAATAGCTGCAGTGACTAGCTCCAGTACAGCAGTGCTTGTGTCCTCTCTATAAGAGATAGTTCCACCTCGTCTGTTGTCAAGGTGAGTCCAGAGAGGAGCAACGATGTCTATTTCAGAATTCAGCAGGGGGATGTAGTCGGACAGTGGCTCAGTAAACGTTAGATGGCCATTGTTGTTGACCTAAAGTTTAGGACAAAACGTTTGCATGTGTTGTGAGGGGAAACATATGGCGACAGAATGAAGAGGCAGAATTTGGCATAATTCCTACTGGTTAATTGTATGAATCAAAAGTCCTCTGAATTTCAAATGTAAAACACTCATACATCAAGGTAGCAACATTTGAAAGAAGTAGAGCTACTAGTTTTTACTCATTTGAAGAGACTTGTCACTTCCAGTGCAAGCAGATAAAACAACTGATCATCTAAATAAGAACAACGACAACTAAAATGCTTACAAAGGTATGGTTGTGTGTGCGTCCAAAAAACTTGAAAGGCTGCTGCAATGTAATTGCTTCAGAGCTTCCATTATCCAAACGGGGTGTTACTCTTTCTCCATTTCCAAAAGGTAAGACATTAGCTGGCACTAGGACAAATGTAAGTGACAAGGAATCCTTTAGTTTTTTTTTCTTTTCCCCAGAAACATAATCTCGCAAACACTACCCTGCTTAAAAGTTTGAAAGGGGAATTCACTAAGATTGAATTGTGCTCTCTAATAGTGTTGTTTATTTTGGAGTGAGCCACAGGTTTGTGGGACCCGATTCACTGCATAAATGATGCAAAACAGGTAAGGGAGCAAGAGTCTCATGCCCACAATATTAGCGCTGCTCAGAATTTGCCCAGGGCAGTCGACCAGCTCGCAGGCTGCTTCTGAGTGCAAGGTTGTGGCGAGTAGAGCAGACCACAACAATCTGCCAGACGCTTCTGGGAATGCATAGTATGATTCACCCACTGATGCAACCAGCATCTGAATTGGCTTATTAAAAAGGTCGAAAGTGCACTCAAAAGCAATGTGCCAGGTAAATCTCAACTGTAAATAAGATACAGGTTTTTGTGTTCAAGCACGGCATGCTACAACTAGCACCAAACTTTAGTGAATTCACCCCAACAATCTTTTTCTAAACAATATCACAAGTTGTAGGCTTACGTTTTGGTGAGCCATCAACATGAAAAGACCAGCAAGCAGTCACATTGATATTACTGCTTGAAGACAGCTCAGGGACACTGGCTGCTGGAATTATGAAAGAACTGGCAGTGTCCACAGTGTTATAACCAGCCTGTAGGAGTAAATAAAAAAGATGTAATTCATTATGAATTAAATAAATAAAGTAAATTACAATAAAAAATGAATGAAAAGGGAGAGAGAGAAACCATTCTTTCGCATTCATGAGCAATGCCTCATAAATTGTATGCCTGTATTCATTTTGATCATTTGTACTATGTACACGAAGTAGTACTTCACTGACCTGCCAAGGTTGTTCTGTTTCTGCAACATCTCCGTAATAGATCAGGATGAAAGAGCGATGAACATTGTACGCTAAAACCACTTGGAAAGTGACCACCTTCAAAACACCAACAGACAGCATTCAACACCTTCCAAAGCGACAAGACAGACCATTGATTAATAATCAAAGATTACGGTAAGTCTTACCCCTCCACCATTATGGTACGGTACACTGTCCCAGGTAGCCACAAAAGCTGATGTAGCAGCAAATGGTATGTTGGGGAAGCATTGCTTAACAGCAGCAGTGACTTGTGCCAGTACAGCAGTGCTTGTATCCTTTCTATAGGAGATAGATCCACCACGTCGATTGTCAAGGCGAGTCCAAAGAGGAGCAATGATGGCTCTTGCGGATTCCAGAAAGGGGGTGTAGGCAGACAGCGGCTCGGTGAACGTTAGGTAGCCGTTGTTGTTCACCTAAAATTTAGGACCACAATCATTCGAAAAGTATTTTAAAGAGAATTTTGAAAAAAATAAATAAAATGAGGGGTACGTAAATAACTTGTAACTTAAACGGTACAGGAAATGTTGTGCTTACGAAGATCTGATTGTATGTGCGTCCAAAGTATTTGAAAGGCTGCTGCAAGAAAATGACATCTGAGCTTCCGTCCTCAGCAGGGGGGTTGATAATTTCTCCATCCCCAGAAGCGAGGAAATTAGTTGGCACTAAGGAAAGGATAAGTGAGAATGAACTCTCTGCTTCTGCTGAAGAAACAAGCTGACAAATGGTACAGGTTAAGCTTGAGCTTCTGGTTGCATTGGCTTACAGTTCGGTGAGCCGTCAACATGGAAAGAGCGGCGACCATTCACATTGATATTGCTGCTGGATGAGAGTTCTGGGGCGCTGGTCACTGGAACTGTGAAAGAATGGACAGAGTCCAATGTGTTGTAACCAGCCTGTAGAAGAAAAAATTAATCATTGTTAGGTCCGCAAACTGTTCCAGATATAACTGCCTACATTTTGGTAGAATGTAAGGTATGAAGCTAGGCAAGGGCAATTCCTTGCCATCTGTCTCATTCGTAAAGCTTAAAAGGACCTGTCACCACTCACCAGCCACATTTGTTCTGTCTCTCCAATGTCTCCATAGTTGATGAGGATGAAGGAGCGATGGACATTGGAGACAAAAACCACTTGGAAAGTAGCCACCTTGAAAATACCAAGAGAAATCATGAAAAAACTTTACAAGACAACACTAATTAATTGATAAACAACAACTCGATCTTACCCCTCCACCACTCTGGTAAGGCACACTGTCCCAGGTCGCGACAAAAGCTGATGTAGCAGCAAAAGTTATGTTGGGGAAGTATTGGTCAATAGCTGCAGTGACTAGCTCCAGTACAGCAGTGCTTGTGTCCTCTCTATAAGAGATAGTTCCAAAAAGGTCGAAAGTGCACTCAAAAGCAATGTGCCAGGTAAATCTCAACTGTAAATAAGATTCAGATTTTTGTGTTCAAGCACGACATGCTACAACTGGCAGCAAACTTTAGTGAATTCACCCCAACAATCTTTTTCTAAACAATATTACAAGTTGTAGGCTTACGTTTTGGCGAGCCATCAACATGAAAAGACCAGCAAGCGGTCACATTGATATTACTGCTTGAAGACAGCTCAGGGACACTGGCTGCTGGAATTATGAAAGAACTGGCAGAGTCCACAGTGTTATAACCAGCCTGTAGGAGTAAATAAAAAAGATGTAATTCATTATGAATTAAATAAATAAAGTAAATTACAATAAAAAATGAATGAAAAGGGAGAGAGAGAAACCATTCTTTCGCATTCATGAGCAATGCCTTATAAACTGTATGCCTGTATTCATTTTGATAATTTGTACTATGTACACGAAGTAGTACTTCACTGACCTGCCAAGGTTGTTCTGTTTCTGCAACATCTCCGTAATAGATCAGGATGAAAGAGCGATGAACATTGTATGCTAAAACCACTTGGAAAGTGACCACCTTCAAAACACCAACAGACAGCATTCAACACCTTCCAAAGCGACAAGACAAACCATTGATTAATAATCAAAGATTATGGTAAGTCTTACCCCTCCACCATTATGGTACGGTACACTGTCCCAGGTAGCCACAAAAGCTGATGTAGCAGCAAATGGTATGTTGGGGAAGTATTGATTAACAGCAGCAGTGACTTGTGCCAGTACAGCAGTGCTTGTATCCTCGCTATAGGAGATAGATCCACTATGCCGATTGTCAAGGCGAGTACAAAGAGGAGCAATGATGTCTCTTGCGGAATCCAGAAAGGGGGTGTAGGCAGACAGCGGCTCGGTGAATGTTAGGTAGCCGTTGTTGTTCACCTAAAATTTAGGACCACAATCATTCGAAAAGTATTTTACAGAGAATTTTGAAAAAAATAAATAAAATGAGGGGTACGTAAATAACTTGTAACTTAAACGGTACAGGAAATGTTGTGCTTACGAAGATCTGATTGTATGTG